CCCCCCTCATCCCCTCATCCCACGAGACCAGAGCTGTATGAAAGCCTCCCTGTTCCTCATCCCCTGGGACAGTGGGGTCAGCGTGGGCCGCGGAGGATGGGGGTCCTGGGGTCACTTACAGGGGCTGATGGATGGTCGTCAAGAGTGACCAGGGTGTTCAGGTGACCAGGGTTATGTCTTCAGGCAAAGGGTGATAGGTGATGTTTGGAAATGGGGTGTAGAGAACGGGTGGGGGGTGTCTAGGAAGGGTGTCCAGTGGAAGGTGGGGTGGTGTCAGGGGAAGGGGATGGTGTCAGGGCTGATGGGGTAGTGTCTTGGGGGCAGAGAAGGGGTCAGGGAGGAGAGGAGGTGTCCAGGGGAGAGGATGTCCCGGGGGAAGGGGTATCCAGGGGGAGTGGTTTGCAGGAGGTGGGGGTGTTGGTCACGCCAGTATGGCGGCGAAGGTGGTGAGATACGCCATTGTTAGTGAGTTCCTTCGACCTTTTTGTTGTGTCTTGATGAATTGGGTGTTAGAGAAGGCGATAAAAATATTCTTAGCTGGTTTATGTTTGGCCTCCGGTGAAGAGAGACATTTGTGGAGCCTCGCGAGTTTGGTTCTGATACAGCACTTTGTTTAGCTCTCCTGTGATATTTTTAGAAGTTTATCATGAGTGAGGTACATTATGTTGGTCCCTCTTAAATCTTAGTCGTTGAAGGGCTTATTAAGACTTCACAAATGTCCCAATGTGACTGAATTTAACGCATTATTACTGATTGAGGTAAAATAAGGAATTTATGAATTATCTTGTTATTAGTTTTATCAATTAGCATTTTCCCAACGAAAATCATAATTCACTGTGTATTAACTCGGTAATACTAAAAAAATCGTTTCTCTTATAGACTTTTAATGAATAAATTTATCAGTGAAAAAAGAAAGAAAAGAACCATTGTGTAGTATTAATATGAATTAACCCATTTAATATCTCCATGAAGCTGCTGTAAGCATAATTATACATAATTAACTAACCTTTCCTTATTATCTTAATCTTGAGCAAATCGTGTTGATGGTGATGTGATTCGTGTGAACCGCTGGCCACAATGTCATGAGTGACCCCTTGTTGTCTGCCCGTGTGAGATTGTGTGATATTTGTGTCGGTAATTAGAGAACAACGACGCACACTTAGACGGCGCTTCTTGTTAATAGATAATTAGGAATATCCAGAAACTTTAGTAAAGTAGGAGGTATAAAAATGCAATGGTGGCTGTATTGGGTTATTAAAAGTACATTGTATCTAGGACGATAGTGGACTCCTCGTTCTCCTTCATGGCAGAAAATATCAAGGAGACGAATTACCTTCTTGTATGAAATAGAATACAAGCAAAAGAACTGTACACGTATCATGCATATTGATAAGAAATATATTGTACGACAGCAAAGTATCGTACAAGTTGCTGAAACTGATTATAGAACAATGTTGTATAAATTGTTTCATAATTGTTGTTCTTATTCAAGCCAATAATTATATAAAGCCCAAGTTGTTCTGTAGCTTTGAGTCTCAGGGGCAATGGAAATGAACGAATCTTAAAGAAAACCTAAAGGTAAGTAAAGAGATGGAAAGGGGGGTTAGGGAAGGGAGGAATGAACAAGAGACAGACAGGCAGAAAAGAGGAAATTAACGAAAGAAAGAAGTACACACAGAAAAGAGATGAATGAACGAAAGAGACTGAGGAGAAAAAGAGAGAGAGTAGAGGGGAGTGACTGAATTATTGACAGACAGACAGATAAACCGACAGAGAAAAAGGGAGTTTAAGTAAGAGACAAACAGACTAGACGGCAGTGAGAGAGAGAGATGGAGGAGAGACGTTGTGACGCTGTATCTTATCTGGCACAGAATTCTGAAGAGCAAACAATAACAAAATAATGTAAACATTGGATGTAAACATAATTTTGCATATATAAACAAGCGGATGACTCGGCGACGCTCCAGCCCCCGACCCTCACTATCTCCAGCCCTCAACCCTCACTCTCTCCAGCCCTTAACCCTCACTCTCTCCATCCCTTAACCCTACTATCTCCAGCCCTCAACCCTCACTCTCTCCAGCCCTCAACCCTCACTCTCCATCCTTTAACCCTACTATCTCCAGCCCTCAACCCCTACTCTCCAGCCCTAACCCCTACTCTCCATCCTTAACCTCACTCATCTCCAGCCCTCAACCCTCACTATCTCCAGCCCTTAACCCTACTATCTCCAGCCCTCAACCTCACTATCTCCAGCCCTTAACCCTACTATCTCCAGCCCTTAACCTCACTCTCTCTCCATCCCTTAACCCTCACATTCCAGCCCTCAACCCTCACTATCTCCAGCCCTTAACCCTACTATCCGCCCCTCAACCCTCACTCATCTCCAGCCCTTAACCCACTATCTCCAGCCCTAACCTCACTCTCTCCATCCCTTAACCCTCACTATCTCTCCAGCCCTTAACCCTACTATCTCCAGCCCTCAACCCTCACTCATCTCCAGCCCTCAACCTCACTCTCCAGCCCTTAACCCTACTATCTCCAGCCCTCAACCCTCACTTTCCAGCCCTCAACCCCACTCTCCATCCCTTAACCCTACCATCTCCAGCCCTCAACCTCACTCATCTCCAGCCCTCAACCTCACCTCCAGCCCCTAACCCTACTATCTCCAGCCCTCAACCCTCACTATCTCCAGCCCTCAACCCTCACTCTCTCCAGCCCTCAACCTCACTATCTCCAGCCCTCAACCTCACTCTCCATCCCTTAACCCTACTATCTCCAGCCTCAACCCTCTCTATCTCAGCCCTCAACCCTCACTCTCCATCCCTAACCCACTATCTCCAGCCCTCAACCCTCACTCTCTCCAGCCCTAACCTACCATCTCCAGCCCTCAACCCCTCACTATCTCCAGCCCTCAACCCTCACTCTCCACTTTAACCCTACTATTCCAGCCCTCAACCCTCACTCTCTCCAGCCCTCAACCCCACTCACATCTCCAGCCCTCAACCCTCACTTCCATCCCTTAACCCTACTATCTCCAGCCCTCAACCTCACTATCTCCAGCCCTCAACCTCACTTCTCCATCCCTTAACCCCACTATCTCCAGCCCTCAACCCTCACTATCTCCAGCCCTCAACCTCACTCTCTCCATCCCTTAACCCTACTTCTTCCAGCCCTCAACCCTCACTATCTCCAGCCCTCAACCTCACTCTCTACGCCCTCAACCCTCACTCTCCAGCCCTCAACCCTCACTATCTCCAGCCCTAACCCCTCACTCTCCATCCTTAACCCACCATCTCCCTCAACCCTCACTCTCCAGCCCTCAACCTCACTATCTCCAGCCTTAACCCCACTCTCCATCCCTAACCCCACTATTCCAGCCCTCAACCCTCACTCTCTCCAGCCTCAACCCTTACTATCTCCAGCCCTCAACCTCACTCTCTCCAGCCCTTAAACCTCACTCTCCAGCCCTAACCCTCACCATCTCCAGCCCCAACCTCACTATCTCCATCCTTAACCCCTACTATCTCCAGCCCTCAACCTCACTATTCTCCAGCCCTTAACCTCACTATTCCATCCTTTAACCCTACTATCTCCAGCCCTAACCTCACTCTCTCCATCCCTAACCTCACTCTCCATCCTTAACCCTACTATCTCCAGCCCTTAACCCTCACTATCTCCAGCCCTTAACCCTACTATCTCCATCCCTAACCTCACTCTCTCCAGCCCTCAACCTCACTATCTCCAGCCCCTTAACCTCACTCTCCATCCCTTTAACCCTCACTCTCCATCCCTTAACCCTCGCTCTCTCCATCCTTAACCTCACCATTCCCAGCCCTCAACCTCACTCTCCAGCCCTTAACCTCACTCTTCCATCCTTAACCCCTACTATCTCCAGCCCTAACCCTCACTATCTCCAGCCCTCAACCCTCACTCTCTCAGCCTCAACCTCACTATCTCCAGCCCTAACCTCACTATTCCATCCAACCCACTATTCTGCCTCAACCTCACTATCTCCAGCCCTTAACCCTCACTCATTCCATCCTTAAACCCTACTATTCTAGCCCTCAACCTCACTATCTCCAGCCCCTAACCCTCACTACTCCCATCCTTAACCCCTACTATCTCCAGCCCTAACCTCACTCTCTCCATCCCTTAACCCTCACTCTTCCATCCTTTAACCCCTACTATCTCCAGCCCTTAACCCTCACCATTCCAGCCCTCAACCCTCACTCATCTCCAGCCCTCAACCTCACTATTCCAGCCCTCAACCCCTACTATCTCCAGCCTCAACCTCACTCTTCTCAGCCCTTAACCCTCACTATCTCCAGCCCTCAACCCCACCTCCATCCTTAACCCTACTATCTCCAGCCCCTCAACCTCACTTCTCCAGCCCTAACCTCACTCTCCAGCCTCAACCTCACTATCTCCAGCCTCAACTCACTATCTCCAGCCCTAACCCCACTCTCCAGCCTCAACCCTCACCTCTCCATCCTTAACCCCTACTATCTCCAGCCCTAACCCTCACTCATCTCCAGCCCTAACCTCACTCCCTATCTCCAGCCCTCAACCTCACTATCTCCACCTTCACCCCTCACTTTCCAGCCTCAACCCTCACATTCTCCAACTTCGACCCCACCATTCCAGCCCTCAACCCTCACTCTCTTCCCAGCCCTTAACCCTCACTCTCCATCCCTTAACCCTCCACCTCCAGCCACATCCTCACTATCTCCAGCCTCAACCTCACTCTTCCCAGCCCTAACCCTCACTCTCTCCATCCCCTAACCCTCACTATCTCCAGCCCTTAACCCTCACTTCATTCCAACCTTCGACCCTCACTATCTCCAGCCCTTAACCTTCACTCCTCTCGACCCCATCCTCACTATTCCACCCCTCGACCCTCACTCTCTCCAGCCCTAACCCCTCACTATCTCCAGCCCTAACCTCACTATCTCCAGCCTTAACCTCACTATCTCCAACCTTCGACCCTCATTATCTCCAGCCCTTAACCTTCACTCCTCTCCACCCCTATCCTCACTCTCATCTCCAGCCCTCGACCTCACTCCCAGCCTCGACCTCACTATCTCCAGCCTCGACCTCACTATCTCCAACCCTCATTATCTCAGCCCTCAACCTTCACTATCCCAACCTTCTGACCTCATTATTCCAGCCTCAACCCTCACTATCTCCAACCTCAACCCTCATCATCTCCAGCAGCCCTCGACCCTCACTCATCTCCAACCCTCATTATCTCCAGCCCTCAACCTTCACCATCTCCAACCTGACCTCATTCCAGCCTCAACCCTCACTATTCCACCCTCAACCCTTCATCATCTCCAGCCTCAACCCTCACTTATCTCCAGCTCAACCCTCACTATCTCCAGCCTCGACCTCACCATTCTCAACCCTCTATCTCCAGCCTCAACCTCACTATTCTCCAACTCAACCCTCATCATTCCAGCCCTCGACCTCACTATCTCCAACCCCACATCTCCAGCCCTCAACCTTCACTTCATCTCCAACCTTCTGACCCTCATATTCCAGCCTCAACCCTCACTCATTCCAACCCTCAACCCTCACTTCATCTCCAGCCCTCAACCTCACTATCTCCAACCTCAACCTCACTATCTCCAACCCTCAACCCTCATCATCTCCAGCCTCACCTCACTATCTCCAACCTCAACCTCATTTCTCCGCCCTCAACCTCACTATCTCCAGCCTCAACCTCATTATCTCAGCCCTCAACCACCCATGACCGCCAGTTCCTCTTTCCCGTTCACCGTCGCCGACTATATAGTATTTTTCCTGATAGAACTATGACAGAGCAGAGCAGACGGTGCCCAGTAAGTGGCGTTGGACTTTCTTCATATTATGTTTATGGTTGGGTAGGTAGGTTAGGTAAATCTTTCGTATTGCGCTGAAGGTTAAAAGTAGTATGGTAGAAGTTCATTTCCATATTTGGATTTTAACAAGTTTCTAGGTTCGGTGGTAGACCCTAACTGCCAGCCACCTTCCTCCAATACCTTTCACCTTCACCTCGCGGCTGTGTCAGTGTTTACAGATAAACGACCGACGTAGTAACTGAGATTGACTGGAAATATTTCAGTCTTAATTGTGTCTTTCCTCTCAGCTTGTAGGAGGTGGAGGAGTGAAGTGGTAAGTTATGTGTGTACCGTCCTGCCTTGTTCATGTATGCTCGTACACTGTATTTTATATATTGATAGCTGGAGTACCCGGCGTTGCCTAGGTTTGTTGTTGATGATGAAAAGTTTACCAGAATTGGCGCAGCCACCATTTTTCTACAATTAGAGGAGCCCACACACAACTTCTCCCGTGACTTCACTCCTGCTGATCCACCACTCTGCGACCTACTGACCGAAGCACGATGCTTATCACCTGCATGCCAGCCAGATATTTTATTAATGATGTTATTTTGAAGGAATGTCCTTCCTTCCTTAGGCTTTAGTAAACCCCTTTGTATTACAATATTAAATTTATATGTGCTTGAGATTCCTGCCAGATGCTTCTGGTAACGTTGTACCGGGGTACCAAGTGACAGCACTGGGGTATCTTTTCCTATAATATGGAATAAACTGTTGAAATTGAACTAGAGGGGCTGCTCGTAGCCTATGTCGGTCTTTGGTCAAAATTATGTACGTGCAAAAAAGTAACCATCCCAAATTTCGGTTCTCTGTGTTAAAAACTGTGGTGAGTTCTTTCAGAAGAGTGGCAGTAAACTATTTTGGAAAAAAACTCTGTCTCAAATACAGTCCTATAGCTGTCACACACCTTGTGCTCCCTGGCAGTCTTCCCACCCGTTTATTTCCCCCGTTAATGCCGGGTCACACAGCAGTTCACCCCAAACAGTGTTGACGTAACTGTTTAATAGTTTTTCTTCATATAATTCATTTTTCATTTCAACATGAGCTTCATAAGAAAATCACTTATGCAACCAAATTTTTGGGTTAAACTGATGTCTGCTGCCTAAGATGGAAGATTACACCATATTTTGCAATTAGTTCTCCTTATTTAGACAATGGGGCCGACTTCTCCCCCATCTAGATATCCGTTAACAGTATAGGTGCTATATACAAAAGAACACCAAAGTTCAGCCTTCTATGTAAAAAACCGTGGCCATGCAGAACATAGATACAGAAAAATAGATGTGTTTTAATGAGGGGCTTCAACTGGCCAACCCCCTAAGATTCTATTTTCATGACATTTTCAGGGTGCATGCGCAGCTTTATTCCAAATTTCAGTTCATTAATATCTTCAATATTGTAATTGCGCAGAGACAAAGTACTAACACACACACACACACACACACACACACACACACACACACACACACACACACTCACTACTCACTACTCACTACCACTCGCTAACGCACGCACGCACGCACAAACACAGTTTATTTAGATGTATAATCTGGTTTTCAGGGGAAGGAAGAGTTTCACGAGTCGCCAGCACCAGACTTACGGCTACTGCCACTCACAGCTGCCGCCCCCAGGAACTACCCAAAGAATTTCTTGACATCCTAAACTAAGGATAATGTCTTTTGTTCCCGCGTCTGTTTCAAAACAAACATTTACACAGAATACTAATGAATATGTAATGTAAATGTAAGGAGTGAATACTGAACATTCAGAATATCATCACTTTTTTTAAGAAAATTTTGTTCGATCTCCTTTGTTACTTTTTTCACATCTGTGCAAACCGCTTGATGGTGTCTGTCGACTTTTCTGACATTGCAATGATGTTTGTAAAGAATCTAAGCTCACATGAAACACTTTTTTGCAACAATTGTCAATAAATCCTGATATGAGCTTTAGAATTTTCCACTGTGATTTGAGAAGTGCTGGGGAAGGGGGTGTCGTCGATTACAAACTATTAGAAAATGTTGTCCGCTTCATTACTCTCCGAAGAGATGTTGTTTCAATAACTAATGTCCTCACGACCTTCGAGGTGTGTGTTCATTATCTTAATTTATCTTTATATCGTTCAACTTATATATACCGCGACAGTATTTTGAAAGGTTTGGCCCATAATCTCTTAACACAAGTGACGTAACGGTAGAATAAGAAGCGCGATGGCGTGTTGATGACTAGTGTAATAACGCGCTGAAAGACCTTGCTTGTTGACATGCAGTAATGCATTATATTATCAGCATCCCGAGTGCGTGAGGTGCCTGATCGTGCTGCCGGCGAGCTCCAGGAACATAATGGTGCACTAGTGGAGGTTCTCAACTGGTCATTATAAATATGTTGAGGTGCGGTCTGAAAACGGCAACAACCTGCTTGATCAGGTTGTCAGCTGCAGACTATGTTGCTGGGGAAGAAACAGACCACCACCACCATTACCACCATCCTCACTAGCACCCTAACTGACATCACCCTTGCCTCCACCACCACCCCTTACCTCCACTATCACCACCACCCCTTTCCTCCATTACCACCACCCTCTACCACCACCACCACCTCACCACCGCCATCACCCCCACCTCCACCATCACCACTACCACCACCTTAACTGACATCACCCTTGCCTCCACCACCACCTTCCCACCACCACCACCACCACCACCACCACCACCACTACCCACACCTCCACCACTACCCACACCCCACCACCACCCCACCTCCACTATCACCACCACCCTTTCTCCATTCACCACCACCACCACCCTTACCACCACCACCACCTCACCACCGCCATCACCCCCACCTCCACCATCACCACTCACCACCAACTTAACCATCACCCTTGGCTCCACCACCACCTTCCCCACCACACCACCACCACCACCACCACCACCACCACTACCCACACCTCCACCACTACCCACACCTCCACCCACCACCCTTACCTCCACTATCACCACCACCTTTCCTCCATTACCACCACCACCACCCCTGCCCACCACCACCACCTCACCACCACCGCCATCACCCCCACCTCCACCATCACACCACTACCACCATCTCTAACTGACATCACCCTTGGCTCCACCCCACCACCTCCTCACCACCACCACCACCACCTCACCCTCCACCACCTCACCTCTACCACCACCCCTCACCCCTCAACCACCACCCCACTCCCACGACCACCATCACCACCACCACCACCCTAACTGCCACCACCACCACCTCACCCCACCCACCGCACCACCACCACTGCCACCACTCTACCTCCACCACCCCACTCCACCACCACCTTAGCCTCCACCACCACCCCACTCCCCCACTACCACCCACCACCCCCACTCCACTACCACCACCACCCCACCACCTCACCCTCACCACCGCCATCATCCCCACCTCCACCATCACCACTACCACCACCTTAACTGCCACCACCACTCACCTCCTCCACCACCCTCACCTCTACTCACCACCTCACCTCTACGACCACCACCACCACCCTAACTGCCACCACCACCACCACCCCTCACCTCTACCACCACCCCCCACCTCTACCACTACCACCACCATCATCATCACCATACCAACCTCTGGGTCTGCCTCGTTATTCAGTCGGTAACTGAGTATTGACACCGTCTTGTGTGGTGTTCCTCCAAGTTACGGTGTGAAGTAATTCCCAGGTAAGGTGGTCGATTTGGCACTTTTTCAGGTTTGTCTTAAGACTATCCTGATACCTTTTCAGTTGCCTGCCAGCGTTACGTCTACTATTTGTTAGGTGACTCTAAGGTAGCGGGTAGCATGGCCAGTCCAGCGTAATTGTTCATGGATAACGGTAGCCCTGATGCTCCTACACCACCACCACCACCACCAACAACAGCAACAACCACCTCATCGTCACCAAGACTACCTATATCATCATCACCACTACCCTTACCGCTCCACTACGTCTTTCTCCACCATCAACACCCTCACCGACACCCACCCTCATCGCCACCATCAACACCCTCACCGACACCCACCTCATCGCCACCATCAACACCCTCACCGACACCCACCCTCATCGCCACCATCAACACCCTCACCGACACCCACCCTCGTCGCCACCATCAACACCCTCACCGACACCCCTCCTCATCGCCACCATCAACACCCTCACCGACACCCCCCCCTCATCGCCACCATCAACACCTCAATCGCCACCTTTACCCTCCCCGTTCCATGACTTTGTTCTCCACCATCACCGCCACCACTTTCACTACCACCCTTAACACCTTCATCACCACACCCCCAAAACCACCACTTCTGTCATCACATACATTAATGTTTATGGGTAAATCATCACTGGTCATATTTTCACATAGTTGAATTGAGTAGTTGGGGACTGAGGGAGCACAATAAGCGTGAGTGAGGTGTACTGTAGAGGAGGTTTCACAAGGCGGTTGGGGGGGGGGTGACAAATTTATTGGTCACCCCTCTGCATTCTGTGCGAGACGAAACGCCAAGCGAACAAGTGCTCAACAGGGAAGCATCATACAGAGTTCTTAGACTTAGATGATGGAAGGTCCCGAGGGGCCATTGGTTGTGTTACCAAGTTACTGATGCGGATCCACCCAACAAGACCAGGAAACAGGAGAGATGATAAACTCGGGGAGACGGGAGAAGTGGATAAGAACGAGGTTATAAGACATGTTGACTTAGGCACTGGTTAAGAAATAGGGAAGAAATCTCTTTTACTTACATCACCAGACACAGGAATTACCTTACAAAACATCAGATAATTCAATTAATTATGAAGTCGGTAAAAATCTCAAGATTAGCTCCCAGAGAGTTAACATAAATTTCTTAATCATGTCCGTTGATTCCTTTTACCTTTTAGTTTTAAGTATGCTTACGTTAGCTCATTTTGAATCCATACCAATTTTCCTTGGTGCTCGTATAGTTGCATGAAGAGGGGAGAATTTCAATATGAACCAACTTCAAGATTTTTACTCATTATTTTGGAAAACTAACACAAGTCAAACATACCAACAAATTCACACCAACTTACTAGAAAAAGTGATGGGGCTAAACTTACCACTTACTCACAAGAGTGGTTGGCTGAGAAGTATAGTGTTGGTGCGTGGCTTCAGTCATGGTGATTAAAAATAGCAAATTCTGTACTGATTGATGTGCAGTCTAAGAAACAATTATTATTATCTTCTTAAGTTTTGGCGAATACATTGTGGATAATTTTAGTCATCCGACGCAGGCATCTGTGTTTCTCGTAACAGTTGGCTGGTCTTTGGAACCTTCGAAATGGGGTAACCAGTTGCACCATTGACTCGCATAATTACTTACTTTCTCCGATAATTAATTTCTGGGTATGTGTCCGTATTCTACCACTTAAATAGTAAGACCATTATTTCGAACCATTATTCGTTGATTATTCGTCGAACAACTCGGAGCTTGTATCTAGTCAGGGTACTAACTGACCAGATTGACTTCTCGTATGTGTACGGGGAAGGGTCGCAGAAGAGGGACGTGATTACTGGCATTGCTCGACTCGACATCGGGTACGATTTTGCTTGGTAGACTGGTATCCCCACCTCTCCCGAGCAACGTGCTTGTGTATTATGCTAGACCACTCCTCCGCTACCGCCTGACGGAGGCACGATGCGTATCACCTGCATGCTGGCCAGATATTTCATAAATAATATTTATGTTATTTAGAAGGAATGTCCTTTCTTCCTTAGGCTTTAGTAAACCCTCTTGTATTATTTATTTTATATTTACTTGAGATTCTTCCCAGATGCTTCTGGTAACTGGACGGGTATTAACAGTACTAGGATCCTGTTTCCTATAATATAGAATAACCTGTTGACATTAAAGTGACGTAGTTACAGTTACGCTTTCATTATAATCCGCCAGCCTCCTTGAATTTGATGGCAGCTGAGTGTATATGAATGTAAAAAAAAAATCAATACAATGAAAGTTGTGAAGCAATTACGGTAACATGTAGATACATATTCCCACTTCGTCTTATTAAATTTCTTTGGACTATTGACGAATAATTATACTTTATTCCAAACTTGAAGCTAAAGTTGGGGCATATTTGCTGCTGTTCGGGTAGTTACTTTACTTCAGAGTTAGAGACAACAATTTTCACCTTAAGTCTAAAAATGGCTGAGAATTAGTTTCAGGTCATCTAGAGGGCTTCAGCTTCAGGTGCCACCACGCCCTCGGGCTCTTGTTCTTTATTTTCCTCCATTTTCATCTGGACGTACTACTGTAAAGGCACAAAACCCCATTTATTAAAACATATTACATATAATAGGCAAAATTTCGAGACACAAGATACAAGACGTGCAAGTATTACCAGGCCCAGGCACGTCAATCATTGTTTATCTCGGGCGGCCAATCCGTCAAGCGATGGTGGGGAAGCGTAAACACTCTAGATGTAGAATCCTTAAATGTTCTCCTCCATTTAAAGGCACACTAAAACGTTCTAAATGTAAATCAGTGTACACTATAAAATATATATATATATATATATATATATATATATATATATATATATATATATATATATATATATATATATATATATATATATTATATATATCTGTATACTATATATA